GTTTACACGTTTAAAACGTGCGCCTCAACCTCTCTATTAACTTGCACTCCCCAACTTGGGGAGGTGCAAGTTAATAGAGACAAAAAAACGGGAACTAATAAAATACAATTTATTAAAATGTTGTTGTACATTTTGGTAGTTTCCAATTTTGAACATAATTCTCCAACATGTAAAACATTATCTCTACGATAAATTATGCATTTTACAATTTAATTACAACTTTTTTCATCAGATGAATTCATTTTATTAATGAATTATTTATTGACTTTGATGATGAGATGCAGATTTGCATTAACCCATTTGCAATCATTTGCCAATATATCGTCAAATAGATAATTAATGACACAAATCGCTTGACGATTTATCGTCAAACTGAGAATTTACGATTCTCATAAAACATTCCATTCATAGATGGCACTACATTACTATAGGTTATTCTGTACACTGTGTTTCACATACATACTACTAGATTAAATGTTATTTTAAGAAATTTCTTGCTTTAAAAAATTTTGATTGTGTGTGAAAAAACTGTTTGTTTTAATGTTCAGAACAAAATGGCCATTTGTACAGGGTTACTCATGGAAATGAACTGTATAATCGAAAAATTTTATCTATGATCGAATTGTGTAAATTATAAAATAACTGTCATTTTTAACATATTTTCTTTGGGAGAAATTTTTTATGCTAGAAAATAAATTTTACTACCATAAACAACAAAGTAACATATATATGTGGATTTTTTGTGAATTTTTAAATGATATAAGTGAAATGACCTTGAGTGAGTAAAGTTTGCAGTGATCATTGTCAAACAATGAATAGTGAAATGTCATGGCCTTAAAAGGGTTAATATTAAGCATAAAAATTTACTTTCAACACTGTGTGTGTGAAAAATAGCATATTATTTGTCTGAAGACATTTAGAAATAGAATACAAAGATGGTTTTGTAAAATTTTTATTCACTTGTGATAAATGATTAAAATAAGATATAGCAAGTATATAATGCAATGTGTGTTTATGAACTTAACAAGAAGTAAATAATTAAATTATCTATTCAATTCAGATGATCTTAAAAGAATGAGATCATTTAATAAGTTTCTAGTAGCAACTGCCATACTGTTAATGTAATTCCCTTAAGGGTTTCAAGTTTGCCATCATATGTGCAATTTACGATTTTGGTTTCATCCCATTTTTGTTGTTAACCTAAGTATGCAAGCAAACAAGGTATATTGCTATTTGGAATATATTTGTGCTCAGGCTTGAAAAATTGATTTCTGAGGCAAAGGATCAGCAGTATGGAGTATATTTTGTGTGTCTGGCATCATTGGTTACTAATTATGTCTTTACTAATGGCTGCTTTCATATGCTAAATTGGCTTTGACTTTTTTGGCTACAATTTTATAAGTCTGGCTCAATTTGGAGTCAAAGTCAACTGCAGTACATTTTTTGCTGTTGTATTTACAGCTCCAGTTATTGGGTTTTTGTATTGTGTGGTTTAGCCTGTTTATTAATGTAGCTATAGCATATAGTTACAATGTATAAAACACACAGCTGTAATTCACAATGCACCTTCAGTGCTAGAGCAATGGGTAAACACTTTGAATTAGTGGCATTTAGGGCACTATTTTATAAGTATGCGGGGGTCATTAGATGTTGAAGAGAGGAAGGTAGGTTATAGATTAGGTTGTAGCTATATGACTGTCAAAAAAGTGGGCTTCTCTATCACTTTCTTAGTCTAATTTTAATGTAAACCAAAATTGATTGTGTAATAGATGCAGTATTTTGCAAATTTTCAATAGCAATGTTCTTATTTTAAGGGCTAAACCTATGTAGCATGCATATTCTATAATTTCCGACTCTAAATGACTAGTTTTTCTAATTAACGCTTTTGAAGTATTTATTGTGCCTGCTCCAAGATCCCCACCTTGATATGAGCAGGCTTGCATGCCCTACAGAGACTGTGAACTATGTCAATGGGTCCCATGCTGGGGATAGGAGCCAGAGTTCAAAGATGGGATCAGTTGTCCTCCACACTAGGGATTGTGCATGAGGCTAATACTCCCATGTAAAAACTCTCCTTTTGCCTTTTTTTAACAAGAGAAAGGCGGTGGGGGTCCTGACTTGGAGTTGTCCTCCATCAAACATGAATTGACAGGACCAGAATAGGCAGAAAGAAAGTGGAAGTGTGAATGTCGTTTGGGTGTGCGGAATGTAAGAGGAGCAAAAGGTAAAGGAATTAATAAGAGAAATAGCTGAAAATAAGTTAATGTTCTTTGTATGAGTGAAAGGCAAGGAGTGTAAGAATGTATTCAACTGGTCTTGTGTGCAAGAGATAGAGCAAGTAAATAAAAGAGTGTCATTCTGATGTGGGTGCACTTCAATGCAAAGTGAAATTGTGTATGCCCCAGAGGTGTTGTAAAAAGTTGAGAGACATCTTAGATAATCACACGTTCATGAGGGTCTCGCTTATAACAAGATATGAATGGATGGGTGGATGTCAGAGAATTCTGAGTCTGGTGATTCCCGGGTGAACCATTGGTTGAGTCCTGAGTGAAAAGAGACCTATAAGTGTCAACACCTTTTTTCCACATAGGAAAATCATACGAAATATCAAAAGAGTATAATGATGTATCCACCACTGCATCTTTCAATCTAAGTGTTTACTGTGACTCAGACTATTACTTAATAGTATCGAAGGAGCAACTGAAGATTGTTTTCCTCTTATGAGTATAGAGAGCATGTGGAAAGTGGAAATGCTTCCAAACCTCCTCCAATCTTGTATAGTAT